CAAACATAGGTGTTGGGATGCAGGTGGCACTGTGGGTTAAACCACAGAGTCTAGGACTTGCCGATCAGAAGGTCAGCGGTTCGAATCCCCGCACCGGGGTTAGCTCCTGTTGCTTGGTCCCTGCTCCTGCCAACTTAGCAGTTCAAAAGCACGTCACAGTGCAAGTAGATAAATAGGTACCGCTCCGGCGGGAAAGTAAACGACGTTTCCCTGTGCTGCTCTGGTTCGCCAGAAGCGGCTTCGTCATGCTGGCCACATGTACGCCGGCTCCCTCGGCCAATAAAGCAAGATGAGCACCACAACCCCAGAGTCGGCCACAACTGGACCTAATGGTCAGGGGTCCCTTTACCTTTACCTTTAAACCTAGGTGTTACATTATAAAAGCCATCTGATGTCAGGCTGAAAGGAGATCCCTGAATTGGAGATGCCAATGGGGAACGACCGTAGCTCAGCAGTGGAGCATCTGCCTTGCGTGCAAAAGCCTCCAGCTTCAATCCCCAAGATCTCCAGGAAGGGCTGGGAAAGGCCCCTGACTGCAATCCTGGAGCGTCTCTGCCAGTCAGTGCAGACAAGACTGAGTTGGATGGAGCTGTGATCTGACTCTGCGTAAGGCAGTTCTGTTCTGAAGGGTGCAGCCCCCAGGATGACAGAGTATTCTCCACGTCCATCCTTGTCAATGAACAATTGTAGTGACGCAAGGGACAGAAGCTTGCTCTTCTTTGCCAGGGAAGAGGAGACAGTTAGCTTCCTGCATTCCTGTTCCAGCAAGGAATGCCTGCAGATGAATGCAAGCAATTTCTGGAAGAGTTTAAAGTTGTCTTCACATGAACAGCTGCACAGAAGCGTAATGGATGGCCACTGTCAAACACAAACCGTAAATTTCCCTGCAGAACTGGGGCTGAGTGTCTGACTGAGCCACATGTTGCCAGGGGCCCAGCAGGGGAAGGGAGGGGAAACGAGATAAGAAAGATAAACTCAGACTTAATAAAGCAATTGCTAGTTTGAAGACCATAACCATCACATTTTCCTTCTTCCTCAGCTTTGAGTGGAATCAAGTTGCACTTTCTGCTTGCAACTTCAAGACCGTAATTTTGCCAGGCCTGGTAATGAAATCAGCTATGAGTTAATGAAAGAAATCAAAAGTGCCAGATTTATTAAAGCCAAAATGTCATACCCTTTGCTGATCAAAAGTGGCTTTGATGGAGCTAACTTCCAGAGTGGTAGGCATATTAGCATCAAGTGAGAATTTAATTGTGTGGATGCAAGTGGTGCTCTCATTTTTAAAAATTTAAATAGCTGCAGGGGCCCTGGAGCAACAGCACCCAAATAGCAGGGAGTGGAGAGGGAGTCCCAATAAAAACCAGCCACTAAAGCTTTTGTTAGCTCTGAGAGGGGTGCTATTTAATTCTTTTCAAAAACCTAGATGTTAATTGCATTCAATTAACATCACTTCCAATTTGGCCATTAGTCTCTTGCCTCAAAAACAGCCACAGGTCTTGTGGAACTGTCAAGAATTACAGATTAATCATGCTTAAGCTTTTGTAACTTCATCAGATGTTTGGTGTACATACAAGCTTGTAAGTGATGTCGGTGACAAAAAAATATCTTCAGTAAAGCTGAAGATAAGCAAAGTGGCCATTCACAACAGCAGCAATTACTTAGTGCTGTCTGACACAGGGCACTTCCAGACAACCTGTTCATTGAGCATTCATTCTGGTTTATTTATTTTTTTAGAATAGTGACTATTTTTATCCCTCTCTCATAAGACTAGAACTCGTGGACATCCAACACAGCTGAATATTGGAAGATTCAGGACAACAAAGCCTATAGTTTTATTATGTTTTTATATATGCTGTAAGCCAGATGGGTGGGGTATTATTATTATTATTATTATTCAGTGGTACCTCAAGTTACAGACGCTTCAGGTTACAGACGCTTCAGGTTACAGACTCCACTAACCCAGAAATAGTACCTCGGGTTAAGAACTTTGCTTCAGGATGAGAACAGAAATCATGCTCCGGTGGCGCAGCAGCAGCAGGAGGCCCCATTAGCTAAAGCGGTGTTTCAGGTTAAGAACGGACCTCCGGAACGAATTAAGTCCTTAACCCGAGGTACCACTGTACTACAATAGCCTTTAAGAGGATTCGACAAATTCATGGAGGAGAGGGCTATCAATGTCTACTAACCATGACGGCTATGCTCTCTCTCTCCTCAGTTGGTAAAAGTCATGCTTCTGAAAACCAGTTGCTGGAAACCACGGGTGGGGAGAGTCCTCTTGTGGCCAAATCCTGCTTGCAGGTTTCCTAGCGGCACCTGGATGGCCACTGTGAGAGCAGGATGCTGGGTAGATGAGCCACTGGCCTGATGTAGCAGGCTCTTCTTATGCTCTTTTGCTATGTTAATTAACACCTGCAGAAGCACAAGAAACCATTGTCCGGAGTCAAGCCTGAACAACCAGAATCAAATTTCTCTACAAGTTCCAATTTAGCCAGTTAAGGTGTCCCACTGAAATTCCTTTGCTGGAGAATGGCAACTTTCAGGTCAATGGTAGAGTGTCTTGGAAGACTGAAATGGTCTCCTGCAGTTTTTTGAATATTGCCGTTTCTGATGTTCATTTTGTTAAGGCAGGTTGATGGTGGATGGTTTAGCACTGTAGCACGCGCTTAAGGGTACAAAACCTCTGCTGGTCCCATGCCAGCTGATCTGTGCCAGCTGCACGCAACAGCAGGACCCCACGAAGGCTAAACTTAACGTTTTCCCTAACAGAGGTTCAAAACTGAGGTGCAAAAACCCATCCACCCAGACCCATCTCCTCCATAATCACATATAGACACACCCCTCGTGCTTGGTCTCTTTTGCAACAGCAACGGCATAGAGATAGGTAGGCCTCCAGGATTGCACCAGACCTATATATTTTCTTTGCAGTTTCCCCTTTTCCAACTGCCAAGTCAGGGAGCAGGGGAATTAGACACAGGGAAGGATGATGGGAGCTGTAGTCCAGCAGCAACTGGAGGGCACTACGTTGGCCACCCTTGCTTTACAGCAACAGATGGTGCCATCCTAAAGGAAGAGTTCTAGGGAACATACGTGGAATATGAATGCTAGTACTATCACAATTTGCTGACCCTAAATTACACCATCCAATGTTCCCTCCGAACCCGAGCCGTCGGCCCACCTCATGTTCACCCCGGCTCACAGGCATACAGCAGGATGTGGCAGGACTGAAACAGCTCATTCAACCCTCTCTTTTTTACACCGTCTGAAAAGCTCAGCCTAATCCTTTGCAGAGATCGGATAAGGAAGACTGAAAGGAATCACCCGGTCTCTCCAAAGGCCAAATCCAAAAGGCTGCGCTCAGACACAGCCTCCCAAATCCCAGCCACATTCCAGAGCAGACAAGAGGGCTAAGGTGGCCGCAGTTTGTACAGCTGTGTGGATGATGTGAAGGGCCTTTTATTACAATGGTTCCCAAGGGGAGCCCTGGCCTGACCCAAGGCCAACAAGCGGAGTATGACGAAATAAGTGTCGGGCAAGCGCTTGCGAGCCAGACACCAGGCACCACGGCTGCAGCTGCTCTGAGCCCCCGCTCCCCTCCCCCAGCACAGGTGATAAGCATCAACTTCTGCAAATGAGCAGTGAGAAAGCACCTGAAGAGACGCTGGCAAGGGGTTATCAGACAGACCAGCCATTCATCCCAGGCTGCTTTAATTAGATTTGGTTGACCCCCCCCCTTTCCCCTGCAGAGAAATAGCCAAGTGCAACATTTATAATTTGCCAAAGAGGAGGGGAAGGCATTTTTTTCCCTCCCTGCTGCTGAAAAGGAAGCTTCTATAGTTCAGTCTCTCCTGTTGCCAGCGTTTGCAAATGTTCCCAGGCTCCTTGGAACTAAGGGAGAAGTGCCTCTGTAGTTCTCCCATATACTCTCACAGAAATTAGGGGTCGTCTATAAAGTATGACACCGTTTAAAGTCTAAATTTCAGTGTGTGTGTGTGTGTGTGTGTGCGCGCACGTGCGCATGGAGAGAGGGGGTGATTTACAAAGATTATATCCTATATAGGAGAAAACATTTCTGCTTTTATAGCCACTGTCGCCTATGTGTCTTATTTTAATTTTATTTTAATGGCTTATTATATTTTGATTATGTTAGCCATGCAGACCCTCCAAATGTGTCTATTTTCCAGGGACATCCCTGGAATGTCCCACTTTTCCTTAGGATGTCCCTATTCACATTGGATAAATGTTGGAAGGTATCGCATTATCTGACCCTCAAGCTGTCTGAAAGCAATCCTGTATAGGGAAGTTTTTATGTTTAATGTTTTATTATGTTTTTATATATGTTGGAAGCTGCCCAGAGTGGCTGGGGCAACTCAGTAAGATGTGTGGGGTATAAAGAGCAATATTATCATTATGGAATAGGGAAGCCCCCATTTTCATTGGAGAAATGTTGCAGGGTATGAACCATGTAGAAGGGCAACATACATAAAGGCCCATACAAATGAATATTTAAAATACAGAGGCAACCGGTCCCCAACAGACCTGGTGGGGCTGCTAGGTTGCCAGGGAGGCATGGCACCAAGGTCACAGGGTGTGGCCAATGAGGTCACAGGGGAGTGGCCAATGATTCCTCTCATAAGTAAGCTCCACACAACACAGTGGAGTTCATTTCTCAATTAAATGAATAGGGTTGTGGTAGGAACTACAAGTGCTTGGGAAGTTTATTTTAAAAACTAATCCTAGCCTTTTGTCCTTCATTATCATCTCCTTTATAAAAAAAAAAGACATTAACCTGAATCTGACCTCACGTTTCAACCAGTGTTTCCTCCCTTGCCACAGGTTTCCTACACCATCCCTTGATGTACCCTTTATCTTAAGATGGCTGCTTCTCATTGAGAAGTAAACTTGTGTCTGGGCTATACCTTAAGGTTACCAGATATTTTTTAGTGAATCCAGGGACACTTTTCAACTTTATTAGGAATGATAGGATTTTGTCTGGGGACTGATTTCTAAATCCAGGGACTGTCCCTGGAAAACTGGGACGTCTGGTAACCTTACTATACCTGCACCATGTGGTGGTGGGTTGCCACATGACTGAATATGCTTTACAAATGTTTTCCTTGCATGTCTTACAGGCATGAATGAGGTTCCAATCTATGAGACGTCAGGCTGGAATGTAGCCTACTGCTCAAAGTTAAGAGTCACCATCGTTGCTTCACCTCTATCCCACCCCATCTTTGCATCTGGCCCAGCCCACCACAGGTATACGGCCCCCAGCAAATTGCCTGTGAGTGCATGGGGCTTTGGGCTAAAAAGAAATGTACCCCACCCCTGCCCTAAACCAGCAGTTTTCTAATTGCAGTCCTACAACCTGATCTTAAATTCATTACACCGAAGTAAGATGCACTGCATTGATGGTGGTGATAATGAAGCACTGCATACATACAGTCCTAAATAACGTCTAACTTTGTTTTAAGCTTTGAAAACACGGACCCACTGAGTTCCCTTTTCATAGAGTCATTTATTTATTTTTTCTTAGCTACAAACACTTCAAACCAGCATCTTCCAACTTCTTTGCTGGAGATGTGATATTAAAATGCTGATGAGCCAGCTGCAGATCCCTTTTCTCCTAAAAATGCAAACTTTCCTTTTGGAGTCTTAAAAAAAAATATTCAAATTGCAAGAGGGCCAGCCAGCTGTTGCTCAGCATGACCTCCTTTATTAGTCAAAGCGCTTCGTCCCACTTAATGTGTTCAGCATGGCAGACTGTCTTATGTGGCAACTTTGACAGGGGGATCATTACGCAACAATCTGCTTGCCTAACAAAAAAACTGTGAGTAAACTGACATTAAAATGATTTGCTAAAGTCCAGATTCACAAAGGGGCAGTCAACCCTCGCCATTTATTGTGATATTTGGCGTCACTCTGAAAACCTCAGTTCCCGGAGTCATCATGACTAACCCAATTTCATTTAAAAGAAAAAAAGAAAAGGGCTTCTGAGCCATTATGGTTGTAAAGAAAGTAGGAAAAATACAACTGAAGGGTAACAAGCCACAAAACAAATAAAACAAATCTTACATTTTACTATCTTAATGAGGAACTCATTTTTATACCAGTCCTTGCTGTTTGCTTACTTAATACTGGCGACGCAAGGCGGCCAGGATTCAGAGAAAGGTCATGCTCGTTCACAGGAGAACCCTCCACTCTGCAGAAAAGGGAAAAACTGCTTTTAAAACTGAACCATGCCTTCTCTTCCATGGTAGCCAGAGCTCTGCTTGCTCTGAGAGAAAAACAGCCCATGTGCACACATGTAACTCGTCTGGATCCGATACCAGACCAATGAAGAGTTTCTGGTTAACCAGTAGGATTGCATTTCAAATACGCACAAAAGTAAGTTGGAGAATTTGCAGATTTTCAGTTCTACAACGTACTACACAATAGTTTTCCCAGCCCACTTACATGTCCATTTAAGCCTGCTTGATCTCTTCAAACCACACAACACCTTTATGGATCATCCACAATTTCCCTTGACCTGTATTTTTATCATATTGTGTACCAATTAATTCTCCCTTTTCTCATTGTTCTCATTGTTCCACAGCTGCACCTTGCAAAAATCTGATCTTGCCCATGGAATTGAAGCTTGGGAAGCAAAATACCCATTTGGATTTTCTACGCATCTGATAAATTCCCATTCAGCAGGTAAGATTGGAACAACGAGAGAAAAACTTAGATCCGGGAGAATTAATCATTACATGCTACAATCAAGTTACAGGTCAGGTGAAAGTGTGGACAAGCCCTTCGTGAGCATCCAATGAACTACAAAGCGGAAGAGGAGCATTGCATGGGTCTGTGAACTTGTTCTGCCTCAGTGCATTGGGAATGCCAAATTGTAGTTTCCTCTTTGAGATTATTATAAATACTTTCAAAGTACAGTGTGGGAGTGTGGCTGACATGCAAAAACTTCTGTCAACAGAGTGAAGGAAGAAACCCATACAGACAAAGGGCCAGGATCAGCCTTCTGGGAATGGGAGAAATCTGTGAACACAGAGTTCACTTCTAGTTTTACAGCACTCTAAGAAATAGGTAGTCAGAGAGATGCTAAGAGAGTATACTTCACACACACACACACACACACACACACACACACCAATCATTACAAAACCAAAATGGCACCACCCAGGAAAACAAGCGATGTGACATAATGTTCATAGAACTTCAAGGTTTACAGAAATAGAAAAAAGAAATATTGAGAAAACAATTCCTATGGGGATAAAATTGCTAATTGGGTGCTAATTTGCTACTAAAACAGGTTCAAGATCCTTGGGATCCTAGGGTCACAAAGCCCTAAACAACTGGGGCACATAAGGGCTGCTGGATTCCTTATTCTCCACATCAGTCCCTGGTGAGGCACTTTTAGTGCTCCCCTGAGGCTTAGTCGGGGTCCATGTCTTTAATGTGGCAGGTCCTGCCCTGTGGAACTCCCTGCCAATAGATGTCCAGCAGGAGTCATCCTTGCTTTCTTTTAGACTTATTTTTAAAAACATACTGTTCAGACAGAAATTTTGATTTTGACATTTTTAACAACATGTTACTGAAGTTTTTTTAACTAGTCACTCTTGCATTATGTTTTTATGTTGTGTGCTGCCTTGCTATATTTCCTATGAAAGTGTTGTTTATAAACATTTAAATAAATTAAATATATATGGCTCTGTTCTGTTCTGCTCTGTTCTGTTCTCCCCAATCTGTCCCTCTAAAATTACTCAGTCCTCCATCTATAATACAGGAGCCACATCCAGGAACTGAGGAAAGGCGAATGTTCCTCACCTGGATGGGTCCTCTCTGACCTAATGTGTTTCAGCCCCAAGCACCTAGGCATTTTCCTGGCTACATGACTGCTTTGCAATTGGCTGGATAATGCCAGCAGTCAGTCAAGACCTGAGTCCAAAACTCTTTAAAGTGGACTGTGTTCCACAGTCTTTTTGTGTCTCAGCCCCTCAACTCACCATCTGCGCTGCTACATGTGAGGTGAGCTACATGCAAGTAGCTATGACTAGATAGAGTTGAACTAAAAGGTGGTCTTTTGTTATTTTCTCAAAGCAACGTTCTCCCTCTTCCATTTGTCCTCATCCTTTCTTTTATTTATTAATAAATGCCATCGTTAGGGTTTTGCATGTATTTGTGCCAAAACTATTGGGTTATTCTAAGCTCTCACATACCTAGTCACTTAGTTCATACCGTGTGTGAGAGAGAAAGAGTGGAATTTGGCAGAGAAAAACTTTGGTTTCTAGGGAGGGACAGGTAAGCTGGATATTATCTTTGCTTCCCATTGGAACTATCTCCCCAGAAAGCACTCCCATTTGGTGTTAGAGGGCAGCCTCCTTCATAGCCTCTGGCATGACTGGTCTACCCACACACCAGCAGTTGTGGAAGGAAGAGAGTACACACATACCAAAAACCAGAAAATGGAAATTCCTTGCATTTGTGTTATTGTGCAGAAGGAAGAAACCAAAGCAAAGACTGAATCTGGAAATACGATGCTGCTCCACTCACTCAAAACAAGTGAGTGCATCTGGCCTGTGGAGGGGGAAAGAGGGGGAAAGTACTCGCTGAGGGAAGAGGATGGAGAAAGCAAAAAAAAATGGAGATAAAATGAGGGGTGACATGAGGGAAGACGAAGGACAAGAAGGAAATTTTTCGGGGGGCAGCAGATCATGTTTCAAAAAAGAAACCTAAGGGGAACAAAACATCCCAAAAACAACAATGTGGAGACTGATCCTGTTCAGAGTGCTGACTACCAGCTGGAAAAGAAAGGGAAATGGAGGAGAGAGAATGGAGTATTGAGGAGATCACAGGGAGTTGGCTGGAAGCCTGAATGGGAACAGGAGCACTTTCCGCAGTGCAGTGTTTTGTTGTAGGTCCCACTTAATAAGAGGTCCTCACTGCATCAGTAGGAAATTCACCAATATTCCCTCAGACTGACAGCACTCGCTTTTTCAAGCTTGGCCTCTCTTGCTTGTGGGACTGCACAAGTAATTACAATTTTAAGCTCAGCTGGTCCCACTTGCTCCATTGTTTGGTGTGTGTGTGATGCTTGTGTTTAGTTTAGACATCAACAGGACTCTATGTACCTGCAATTTTAAGAAAAAGAAAACATTGATATGACTACCCTCCAACATTCAGATTGCTGGGCCGCCACACATGATCATCTGCCAGCCAGCTTCTCATTGGGTAGGATGACAGCGTCAAATTTTTAGGATGAAGGTGCCAGAGAAACATCTACATCACACCTCTCACCCGAAGCATTTGTAATGCAGAAAGATGGCCCAAAGTAGCTATTCTGATTCTGGCACACAGTGCCTTGCGCCAGCCAAAACCCAAGTAAAGAGGCTCTAGCACACTGGAACCTGAGGTTTCTTTCTTTCTATTAGCGTCACCTGCTTGCTGAAGAAGTGAGCAAAGAGGGCTTTTGCTGCCAAACTCTGTGGCCACCCTTGCGGTGTGCAAATAAACAGGCGACATGATCTGAGTCCCATAAATCCCTAACTAATTTTGAAAGACTCTGAACATTTAATAAAGAGTTTCACAGTTTAAGTAGCAGCCAGTCGTTACAGTTTTGGAAGTCCTGAGGCTGCCTGGAAACTGTCAGCAGACATGTACCTCTCAGATGGCAGCATGGATGGCAGTCATGGCAGTTGTATCATGGTCCAGCTTGTTTTCCTTTGCAATAATATTCCCTAAGTAAAAAATATAAATAAATAAAAAAATCAACTGGAACTACATGGGATACTTTTGCCATACATCCTTGCAAGGGAGGTTTAAGCACAGGGAATGGAAAAATCAGATCACTGGAGATGAATGTATTCTCTCCTTTGCCAAAAGAATACAATTCTATGATTCTAAGAAAGAAAATGCCTAAATTTAAGCAACTCCTAACACCCAGCTCTATCTGACCAACACTCGCTGAGTTTTCCCCATCTGCTCTCTCCAGCACACTGTGCTGACAAACATATCAGCATCACTTCCACAAATAAGCAACCTTGCTTGTTAAGTGATAATGCTCGATATCTAAAAATGGATTTGAGAAAGTTGCCTCTTTAGAAAAGACCTAAGCATGCTGCACTTCCTTTGAATAAATCACACCCCAGTCCTAAGCTTATTTACTTTAGAACCACGTTCCGCTCAGTTCAATGAGGCCGACTCCCAAGTAAGTGTATACAGATTTATGTACCAAAGTTTAACATATGATGCTCAGTTATGTCTCCAGTGTGCCAGTGTGGTGTAGTGGTTAAGAGTGGTGGACTCGTAATCTGGTGAACCGGGTTCGCGTCTCCACTCCTCCACATGCAGCTGCTGGCTGACCTTGGGCCAGTCACACTTCTCTGAAGTTTCTCAGTCTCACCTCACAGAGTGTTTGTTGTAGGGGAGGAAGGGAAAGGAGAATGTAAGCCGCTTTGAGACTCCTTAAAGGGAGTGAAAGGCGGGATATCAAATCCAAAAAATCCAAAAAATCCTTTATCTCTGTTGTTTCCCCCCCCCTCCCACTTTTTATAAGCTGGCTGTCTTTTCTGCACTGATCTTCCACTTCAGATTGCAGCTTCCATGGTTATGGGGGGGGGGGGGAATGAGGTGATAAGAAAGAGACCTGGAGAATACATGTGATTTGAGTCATGTAATTTAGTTTTTACAATTTGATGTTCAAATCGCTTTAACCTGCAGCATAATATTTTGCTAGTTGTTTGTGCTCCAGTGACAAAGGCAGGCATGTGCGAATCCATCTTTTGCTCCAGTGTGGTCAAGCCTTTGACTTGTGTTCTGGGCTGAAACCAAACCTATGACTTTGGAGACCCCACAAGAAACCTAATAGGAAAGCAACTTCTAGAAGCAAGTTCTGTTATAGAGTTCATGTGTTCATGTGACCCTTTCCATCTTCTGCTCAGGTTGTATATACAGTGGAACCTTGGTTCTCAAACTGCTTAGTTGACGAACAAATCGACTCCCAAACACCGTAAACCCGGAAGTAAGTGTTCCAGTTTTTGAATGTTTTTGGGAAGCCGAACGTCTGATGCAACTTCCACTTGAGTGCAGGAAGCTCCTGCAGCCAATCAGAAGCTGCGCCTTGGTTTTCAAATGTTTTGGGAATCAAACAGACTCCCGGAACAGATTAAGTTCGAGAACCAAGGTTCCACTGTATGTGTAAATAAACTCATATATGATAAAGTCTCCAGTGACCTATATTCCAAGGAAACTGAACCCAAGCTATGTGCTGGCACCCCTAAAGTTTCTCACCATACAGAGATTGGGCTGTGCACAGGGGGGTTTTCTGCTGGAACTCACCGGAACTCAGTTCTGGCACCTCTCAGGTGGGCACCATTGCTGTTCTAAGAGAATGAGAGATATTACGATATTACGATATCTTTATTGTCATTGTCCCTTGCAGAACAATGAAATTGAAAAACTACATAAAACGACATAAAAACTACATAAAAACTACATAAAACTACTACAAAACTACATAAAACATTCAAAAACCCCTAAAAACTCTAAAACACCATTTTAGAATACACTATACTACAGAGACCCCTTATGCTGCGTTTAGAGCCAGAATTGCATTAGCGTAGAAACTGTTTCTCAGGCGGCTAGTCCTGGCCTGTATAACCCTATACCTTCTTCCAGAAGGCAGAAGCTGAAAGAGATAATTTCCGGGGTGCGTACTGTCATGTGCTATCTCTGCCGCTTTCTTATGGCACCTGGCAGCATAGATTTGATCTAAGGTGGGAAGAGTGCACCCAATAATTCTCTCTGCAGTCTTTACAACCCTGGATAGCATTGTTTTTTCCCTGGCTGTGCAGCTCCCAAACCACACACACAGACCATAAGTTAGTACGCTCTCCACAGTGCCATCAACAGGTCCTTTGAGAGATTGTTTTTCCGGAGGATTCTCAGAAAATATAACCTTTGCTGTGCTGTCTTCACCAGGTCTTTGCTGTTCTCTCCCCAGGTTAGGTCGTCTCTCAACTCCATTCCCAGAAATCGAAACACCAAGACCTGTTCCACGCACTTCCCCTCAATAATAAGTGGCTGAATATTCAATTTACATTTCCTAAAGTCCACAATGATCTCTTTTGTTTTCTTTAAGTTAAGGAGTAAGTTGTTTTTCCTGCACCACTCCCCCAACTGCTCAACTTCCTTCCTATAGGCCGCCTCCCCCTCTCCAGCAGTAATTAAACCAACCACCGTTGTATCATCTGCAAACTTAATGATCTTATTACTGGGGTATTTGGGGGCACAGTCAGCTGTATAGAGCGTATATAAAAGCGGGCTCAACACGCACCCCTGCGGCATCCCCGTATTCGTGATGAGATCTGCAGAGACGTGGGAACCCAACCTGACCCTTTGGGAACGGTTTGATAGAAAGTCTAATATCCACCTGCACAAACATGGTGGAAGTCCCAGGTCTAATAATTTGGGCACCAATCTATGTGGAAGAATAGTATTAAATGCAGAACTAAAGTCTACAAATAACAGTCTCACGTAGTTCCCTTGCTTCTCCAAATGAGTCAGGACAGCATGTAAAGCCATTGCCACAGCATCCTCTGTGGATCTCTTTGCCTTGTACGCAAACTGGTAATGGTCAAGTCCCACTGGTAGACAAGATAAGATGCGCTT